ATGTATATGAATGTTAATACAGATTATTAATTATTATATTTATTATTATATTTCAGAGCATAATAAACATACATTCTTATCATGTAGACGCTCTCCTGCAGATAGCTGAACTGTGTAAATTGAGCGAGGATTTACCAATGGCGGCGGAATTTATAGAACGGGCTTTATATTGTTTAGAATGCGCGTTTCATCCATCTTTTAATGTAACAACTGCACAATGTAGATTAGATTACAAGAAACAACAGAATCGTGCACTTTTTATAACACTTTTCAAACACCTTAGTTTTGTTGGTGGAAGAGCTTGTTATAGGTAAACATTATAACATATATACATTAGATTCAAGAGAAACTTAAAACACACACACAAAAAGATGAGAAAATTTATATTAAAAATTTCAGAACAAGCTTGGAATTTTGTAAATTACTTCTGTCATTGGATCCTGAAGGTGATCCACTAGCAGTGGTCTTGGCCATTGATTTCTATGCCTTAAGAGCTAAGGAATACGAATGGTTCGTAGAATTTTGTAATCTGTGGGAAAGTTCCAGAAATCTAACTCAATTACCGAACATAGCGTATAGCCTGGCATTCGCTCACTTTCGTTTGGGAAATAAAGATGATGCTGATATGCTCCTGCAAAATGCTCTTGTCATGTTTCCAGGTGTATTGATACCCTTACTTGAGAAGTGTAGTATACAAACAGATGCCAAGGTATTATTATACTATAAACAAATTTTTTTAGAGATTACATTTTCTAAAAATTCAAAGCAATATAAATGTATGAAAAAATTAGTACTTGAATATTTCATTTATTAGGTAATGCATCATGATTTCTTTAACTCTAAAGCTCAAGCTAGTACATCACCAGCTTTAGAGAAACTGCAGAATTTATACATAGTGCGTAGCTTCCATCTCTGGAAAGAGACAGATACTTTACCATGGTTAGAGGAATGCGTGCATGCTGTGCTAAATCGAATCGAGTCTAAAGATGATTATGTCAAATATTGTCAAGTTAAGCGTAGCAAACGCTATCAAGGAAGGTTACCAAAAAACATTTTAAGACACATTATATTAGCAGACATGAAGGAGGTCATAGTGAATGTCCAGGAGGTAGTGTTCCATATTCTACAAATTTATCGTAAAACAAATTTATTTTATTAAAGTTCATATATGATTCATTCTAGATACAGAATGAGGGCCCAGTACTGTCACACGATCCATTACCACCGATAGACAGCATTGATATTTATAAGAGACCTACAGCAAATGACAGAATAGCTCAAAACAGTTCGAATTTTCTTTCTCTCTTTTTTTCTTCGCTATTCACGGACATCGATGGCGCGGCTGCTGCTTTAAATGGTTTAAACATATTGTAAGTATACATACACAACAAAAGTAAAAAAATAGTAACATCAAGGAATAGAATTGTAACATTTTTACTATTCCATGTTGTAATTACATATTTTCTCACAATTAAATTGTTTAGAATCAATTCTCAAAATTATATATTATAAACAAAATTTACAGCATCATATATGATTAAAGATGTCAGATGATATTATTCATAATTATTTCTTTGTTCAGTGAGGAGAATGATGACCATGCACAATAACTTTTCCTTTTATATGCATCAACTTCATAATGGTAAGAAAACTTTACAAAATGTGCAGTTTCAAATAATATATACAAAAAAAAATCAAGTAATTAGTAACATATGATAGCTTAATAATAAAAAGATAATTTCAGAATTATTGGATTTTTGATATATAAAGAAAAATTGCAATCTTAATTTTTTTTTAATAATTTTTTTTTTTAAATAATTGTTTTTAAATAAATTTTTTAGATATACGTAATTCATTATGATGCGATGACATTAAACAAACGATTATTGTAATATTTTCATAAATGTGCTATTAAATTTGCGTTTACTTAAAAATTTGTGAAAATAATATAATAAAAACTATATATATATATATTGCAGTAAATAAAATACACAGTAAATTCTGTATCCATTTCATAAACTGTATACATGTATATACCATGTAAATTTATAAATGATCATTATATTAAATATAAAAAGAAAAAACAAGAAGACATTATTAATTTCCATAAGTCATATATACTCAAGTCACACACATAGTTTCAAATGTATGACATGATTCTGTGAAAAAAAATACAAGAGATTATTCTTTTGTAAATAAGTTGGAATAAACAGATTGTCTTTTTATTGCATCTAGCACCATGTAAAAAGAAATAAATTATCTGATAATTCTCTTGCATTTATAAATGACAATATGCATTAAAAATGATTTCAATCGGCGTGCTTCTCTCGTTTATTATCTCTTAAACCATACTGTGGAACACAGGATTATAACGACAAATTCCAGGACCATATTCTTGATAAGCCTTCTTTGTGTGACAGACTGTGTAGAATTCTGGATCACTGGCCAGTAACGCGCCACCGTACCATACAGCGCAACGCTGCTTGTGATGCGATATCACACGAACGTCTATTGGTTTTGGCTAAAATATAAATGTGGTTTAATAAACATAAAATATTATTACACTTAAAAGAATTAATGCCGTAATATTATTTGATATTCACCGTAATATGACTACCGCTTAATGTTTCACTAAGCTTAAGTCGCGTGTCGACAATCTTCTTTATGTCACGTTGTAGTCGCCTACCAAAATCCTTGAACATGGTAGAGCCGCCCGATAATACAATATTACTATACAATGGTCTTCTGACATCGATTGGGCAGTTTTGAATTACGTCATCGACGATTTCATTGAGTGGCGTCGTGAAGTCCGGATTAGAAAACTTGAAACATTCATAATACAAAAAAAACATAGACATTGGTTGTGCAAAGTAATTTACAATTAATGTAGTTGTATATATATACATTTAACTTACTTCGGGATGGAAAAATATTTCCGGTCCAAGAAACCTTTCATATCCGACGTCCACGCCAAATGGATTCTTGGTAATACTGTTAATACCGTCATATTTTTTAATATACTTTGTAGGATCGCTATCGTATTTGGCGAATTCTTTCGATATATCCGGGCATATATAACAATATTTTTCTTTAATTGACTTGGCTGTTTCTAACGATTGCTCGGGTGGTATTCCAATCTCTCGTTCTCTCAATAGACTTTGTATAAAATAAGTAATATCACGACCAGCAATGGGAATGTGCTTTATACAACTTCCTATAACGAAACCTTCTGCCTGTGAAAATTCAATATATTGTCAAATCTGATAAGATTTTAAAATGAAATATATAATGCAGATTCATATATACATACTACTGGAATTACGTGAGTTACACCATCCCCACTATCAACAACGACGCCTGTTAAAGTACGATCTTCTACGTTTTTAGCTGTCCACGAAGCCGCTAAGGCAAGAACAGCTTGTACCGCTATATAAAGTCCTGGTACATTGAATGACTCAAACATGATTTCTGCTGTATATTCCCGATTTTCTGGAGTGTTCAAGGGTGGTTCTGTTAAAAGGAAGTAATGATCTTCGGGTTCCGATCTGAGATATTTGAAAATGCATTGTTGCAAAAACTTCTCCATCAAGTCCCAATCCTCGACTAGTCCATGCCTCACTGGATACTGCAGATCAAGGATCAAAATGTATATTTTAAATACAAACCATTGGAAACGATCCTATCTTGAAGGAATATTTTGTAAATAAATACCTTAATTGAATATCCGGTGGCTTCAAAAGCCTCATCCCCGATGTAGGCATCCAAGTCCTCCACACCCTTCGTGATCCTCCTCGCATTGTTATCACCAACCTTAGCTGTTTCCTTGATGGCAATCGCCGAAGGTATGGTCAGCTGAGGCTCCTTATTGCCGGCAAACCCTAATTTCGTGTATCTACAAGATAACGATTATTAACACAATCGATAATTATACTCGAATGGGAAATATCAAGCGTGTTAATCATGCGTGGGCGAATATATTTTTACGCGCATCGATATGATTTACCATTATATACATGATAAAAAAAAAATAATTTTAGGAATCGGTTATTAAAGAAATCTATGTACATGTATGCACATGTAATATGTAAATATATGAATCGTCGAGAAGGCGCGGTTTACACTTCTCCGAGTGTTTATCTGAGGCGTGTGTCATCGATGACAGTCGGCTTCTAACCTGATTGGCACCACCCTAAATTGGCCGTTCGCCCAAATTTATTTTTCCCTTCCCGGAGTCGCACTTACCCTGTGCCTACGTCGATGACGCACGCAGGTAGACGTCCGAGCATGATTCCTGACCCACTAATAAACCTTATCTCGATGAAACACACCCGTATCGATACCGATGACGGTTGGGGATAACCATCAAACCACCATTGAACTAACACTAGTACCTGTCAACACTTGTCTATGGGCGCGTTCAGGAAACACAACCGTTGAGCATCGTCTTGTCAACACTCGATGTTGATTTGTTGGTTCTAGAAGTAAGAACCAATCACGTTTGATTGCTGCTCGTGTCTCCTGAACGCACCCGATACCACGTGTCTTGCAGCGCACCTATCGTCACGCTGTGTATCTATTTAATAATGACAATTTTATCGACGGTGTTGGCAAAAAATAACATTATATGGAAGTCCCCATATGCAAAAATGCCGTCTGTAGTCCATTCTCATACTACATTTTAGTTCTATGATAGAAACTGACCACCTACACACGTGCATTACTCGTGTATTATTTGTATGAGGATATAGGACTGTGTTTGTGTGCAAAATCGAGAGAACTGTCAAAAACAGCGGATAATGATGCAGTTAGTATTGTCGTAATATTAAATAATGTGTTATAGCTGCGTATCTTTGTAATTTTGTTTTACGGAATTATAATTGCCAAGAGAGTTTGTATGAGAATCTACTTAAATTAAGATATATAATAATGGAAAAGAGGTTAACGAGTATATGACCGCCAATACAGAATTACTTAAACGATTATCGATAAGAATTTATTGAATCCTAGATGTTTAGGAGCATAGATTAAATCACCACTGACAGTTTTATTTTTTGTTGTTTAGAAAAATTCAGTTTGGTGGAATATATAATGAAGGATACTACAGCGTGGCATTGATGCAATTACATCTGTAAAAGAGGACCTAATGGTCGTGCGAAGGATGACTTCTGAAATTTTTCTGGGAAATGGTGGAACTCTACATCGTTCCTTGATGTTTATATTGAAACTTGGCTGGCAGTCAAGATTTCGTTTGCCAGTACTTCTGGTCATTGTCTTTGTCGCCATGGATTACAGATTACAATTAGAGATAGAATTTGGAGACAATGCAGATCAACATAATCATTTATAATTTGAACAGAGAAAAACAGATAGATAATAATTTGACATAAGACTGTTACTTTATATACTTAACATATGCATATAATGCAAAAGGTTTAGTGGAAAGTATAAAATATGAACTGTATTATTTACACACTATCATGAATGTAATACATATATGAACTGTTGACAAATATTAACAATTGTATCATACATATTTTATATGTGCATGTCTACTCATATATGGAATTTTTTGCTCAGTACTTGCCAATTTGCAACGCTTGTACTTTTGCTAGACTGTCATTGCATTTGTCATATCAGAATTTAAGAATTTTGCGTTTTATTGTAATATATTTATATCGAATACATATATGCTATTTAAGTTAAGTTTATGATTTCATTATAAAAATAAATAGTAATAAGGGGGCGGATTTAGTTTACTTGTTTCGTGCAAGGCTGTAAGATAAATTGTTTCTAAGATGTAAGATTTGACATAAATATCAATAATTTTCACAAAAAATTATATATTTTGCCCTAAAATAAGGCAATTATTTATTTTGTAATTAATTTTTGTAAATTGTATAATGTAACATGGAAGTTGTGTTATGAATAAATAAACAAGAAACCATTTATTTTATATTAAAAATTAAGCGTTAAAAAAATTCTTCCGCTTATAATTTTTTAAAGATAAATATATTTTTCTTTTTTTAATTTTTAGCAGAGTAAAACAAAAGATATAATTGAATTGCAAACTGGAAGTGTTTTTTTGATAAGTTTATATAAATGCTTACGATTAAAAATTAGTGATCTTCATGTAATTGAATATTTCTCTATTTTGCTTTAACGCTATTTTAGTTAATATATATTATATATATATTAAAGTAATACATTTTTTGTACTTTAATATTATCTATCATTGGGAACAATGATTAATAATATTGATGTTTACATAAATCTCAAGTTATTCTATCATGAAAAACGGTTATCTAAAAAAATTAATCGATTATTTAGAAACGATGAAATTCGATACTTAATTATGATTATATTATTTGAATAGCGACAAAAAATCATCTAAAAATCTTTTTTTTATTTGTCATCTTTTATTTCAAAAATTTAAAAAAATTTTTTTTATATATGCTTTATACGTGTAATATATTTTTTTCTTAACTATTATTTTTAAAAACTGTATAATTAATTTTTTTCACACACAAGATGTTTAAGAAAAAAACACTTTTTTACTTTTTAATGTTTTATTTAATTATTAATTATTTATTATTATTAGTACATTACAAGTTTTATTTTTTTTATGAAGAGAAAGAAATCTTTCTTTTTTCTTCTCTCTCTTTCTTTCTCTTTTAGGATATTTTATGATAAACTCTGTAATTATAAATTATTATATATACGCGAGATAAAAAACCAAAAACGCTTTTTTAATTCAATCGAAGTAATATTGCAGCTGGGGATAGAAATTGAATTTCTCGTAGGTGGTTGGGAAGCCACGATAATCCAGCATGGTCCCCTAGAGTACGCTTTTCCTGTCAGGATACGTCTGACTTATGAAGAAAAAGTGATACCACGTGTTCTTGCATTCGATTCGTTTCGGGAGAGCGCAACATGCTTTTCCTTCGATGAAGAAAAAGCGGTCGACAATAAATTTCGTCGAACGTTTAGTTTACTCGGTGTTCATTGACACATAGTGGGGGACTAGCAGGCTTTATATAGACTGTGCGAACGGAGTTTATCGGTTTTTCTTCGTAGACGCGTCCCGATGGAAAGTAAAATTGCAAGATTTTCCAGTGTTCTCGGGATCTTCCTTATGTTCGCCTGCTTCCCATTGCGAACCAAAGCGGAATTTAATCCCAAAAGTTTTGGTAAGTGAAAATTTAAGTTAATTTATATATAATTTAATAAATGAATTAATCATATCAAATTGGAAATATGTGTGCATAAAGATGTGAGTGTCAAAAACAGGGTGTCTCAAATAAACTTAAAAAGGTGTCTCATCCGATTCAAGCTGTGTTATTTCAAGATATGTTTCAAAAGATCGAGACATACATAGAATTTGTTTTGCTTCTTGTTCCGATTATGTTTAATCGTTTTATTACACGCACTCCAGCATTAGAAACACAATTTGTCGAAGTGTATCAAACAATTATAGAATAATGAAATGTACATATCGACGATTGCAGAACGAAAATTAATTGCCTTAGATAAGGTTCTCACTTACATTAATGACCGACCACATCAGATGAACGTAGACGCCACGTTTAGCGTTACCTTGAGCGAAGGTAAAGAATTTCTTTGTAATTATATTGCCAATTAGAACTAGTAATTTTTTTTCTTTTTTTGCAAAATATCTAACAAAAACTAATTGTAAGAGACTTTCAAAATATGAAGTTCTGATAAAATTTATAAATATTATAAATTTAAAGCCAAATGCTTTAAATTTATAATATTTATAAATTTGATTGAATATACAAAACAAACATTTTTTATATAATTTTCTGATTAAATTTGATGATTACACAATTTTTGTATTGAAATACTGAAGTTAACTTAGTGGGGGCACTTTTCCATGAGAACGTACAATATTTGGAAAGTAGATTCTTCATCGCACTGAAAGAAATGGTTGCGTTATCCAATATGACCCGAAAAAAGTTGATGAATAACGTTGTCCCGGAGAGCGAGATCGAACTTTCGCGTAAGTACATGCATAAAGCGCACGTGAAACGAACAATAAAGAGTTTGCTCTTTACTATATTTTACTTACTTTACGCATTTTCTGTATTTAAAATGATAACGCTTATTTTAAAAAAGATAAGAAAAAATGAAAATGATAAATGTAAAAATAGAAAAATGTAAAAAAGAACGGACTCAGAAAATGCTAAAATAATTATGTTTAATTGTTCTAGAAATAGAACAGAAAATTTACAATAAAAATTTTTACTAATAAAGTTTTTATATATTCTTATTATAAATGTATAATTAATACATTAACATATAAGTTGAAAAAATTAACATTTTTTATATGAAATTAATTCAAATTTAATTCTTAATTTATATCTTTTTAATTATTTGAACATTTATTGCTGGAAGGCTTTTTCGGTCGTCGATTAATGATTACCAAATAGTATATCTTGTGTCGAGTTTCGTGAGATACAAAGTTTTACAGTGCAATCGACTCTAAACAATCTTACCCTGTGGATGAGACCTATATGGTGGACAAGGATCTTTCCAAAAGATAGACCCACTCCCAATGATGAATTAAACTATACGGAGATCGTTAAATCTATTCGACAAGGATGGCCAAATGAAACAGAGAGTGATCAATGTTTGTTCAAAATTACGCGTAGCTCGTTAAACGGAGAATGTCAAATTCCTCAGACTTGCGCCGAAGCATTGATAAGGAATGATGACTTTTCGGGGTACTCTCTCACACATAGATTGCTTATGATCCAAATCGCTGAAAGAGTAAGATATCAAACAATATAATAAAGGTTTCTATTATTAATTAATTTTATAAAACATATCGTGTGTGCTTGACAAAAAAAATATCTTGAATTATTTCTCCAAATTTTACATTTTAACATTTATTTCTCTGATTATGTATCTGATTGAAGTGTTCATTGCTACTTTCAAATGTGTGAGCGCTAAATTTGCCATATTTTTAATTATATATAAAATATGCTTATTATTTTATATTTATATATTTTGTTTATTTATTATATATTGTACTTTTATATGAGAAAATAATTATTTTTTCTTATACATTTTTCTGTTCATTTCCATGCAAGTTGAAATAATAAAAAGAATGAAGTTCCTACACGATGGTCGGTTTTAGTTTGGATGTCGAGAGACTGCATCGTTGCCATTTTCATACTTGGTACCTGCATTTTGCGCCAGAATTTTTCAGGATCTCGTTAATCTTGAAGCGTGGAATTTTCCAGACCTCGGACGAGATCTCATGATTGAGCAAAGTACGCGTATATGCATTAAAAATATATTATATGAATTTGATAAGATGTAAAATAAAAAATATTTTGCATTGTAGATAAGCAGAATAAAAAAAATGAGATAAAAAATGTTTGTTAAATAAACTGATCTTTCTTTTTTTTTTTAGTTGTTCTGTGCGGTATGGAAGGTTATTACGAATTTCTCGATAAACATTATGAAGATTTGATATTAAGCTGGCCTCATCGGAGTGGTTGCTTTAACTTCCAAGGGTGATTTATGCGTTACAAATATATATTTATTGACGGATATATTTAAATTATATATAATTATATGACACACTCACAATGATAACATAATTATTAATTAAATTTAATTATATAATGCATATTAGAATTATAATATATATTATAATTATGCATAATCTCGCGTACTAAAAGTATTATAATTATAAATATATTATTACATAATAATTATATAATATACATATATCAAAAAATTTAGGTTTACACAATTATATTATTGAAATATTTATTATATATCGTGTAATGCATTACAGGCTACGTATATATTTACCAAGCATTATTTGCACAAAAAGCACGAGATGAGCATTATGTTAAACGTTTCAGATTTCCTGAGGAGCATAAGATGACTCGGCGATCGTCATCAATAACCGACTTTGGATGTAACAATCATATAACAGGTCTTGCCGCTGCGAGTCTTTCCTTATTGATCCGAGAAAATATAGAAAATGAACTTGGCCAATAAATCTTCCTATTTTCAAGAAGCGTTTTCTTATCAAATATTTATTTTCATCGCAAATTTGCTTTTTTTTTGTTAAATATTCTTTTATTAAGGTGACAAGAACACATATGTGAGATTGCCTGATTTAAGAAATAATCAACTTATATTGCTAATGAAAAATATTCAACTGATCGTATTTTTTTAAACAAAACGTGCAAAAAAATGTATGTCATAAAAAAAATCCTCGGGAAAATTGTGCAACTATCAGGGTTGTAACGCATGATACTGGACAAAAAATGGAAATGATTTATACCTATGATAAATAATATTATAAGACAAAAGTTTGAAATATGGCACATGTTGTACAAAAGAAAAAAAACGAGAATGAAAGATTAAAATCAAATATGTGGAAATTCATTTTTTATAACAATATTGCGAAAAATATTTTGTACCCAACCAAGCTACTATCCAATGGTTAAAGAACGCAAAGTCATCGTATGTTAACACAAATGATATGATTGCAGATTGTTTGACAAAATCTGTTTCCAAAGAGAAACTTGAATAGTGCTGTAAGCACATGCGTTTGATTGAATAATTTTGTTGCATATAAATGCGATTACTTATAAGTGAGATCGGTTTGTAGGGGGAGAGTATAGGAATGTACATTTAACAAACCAATCTATGTATATACTTATGTTCCATGTTTAGTTATTTTGTGATAATTCATAATTCTATGACATCTCATATAGAGAGCAGTATGTTTTGTTTTTTCATGGTCGAACGTTTTCACTATATTGACAAAGATCCATAGAAACAATTGCGTTACATTGTTTTATACACATTGAAATATATTGATATATATATTTATCCCGGATCGTTTATTCTTCAAAAATACCAACATTTTACTACAGGCTGTGGGATACTTTTACGAAACATCCGGTCATTTAAATCGAAATATATCATGCTTTGGTGTACGAAAAATAAGCTGCACAATGAATGAATATATCTCTACGCGACGTTATTAATATATAGATTCGCGAAAAGTGCGCGAAAAGATATATTCCTATGTCTCGTCTCGCTTTCGCTCTATCTCTTCTACAATTTGTTATATGATAAATTGCGATTATGTGTAAGAAAAGGTCAGTTTTGTAGTCGACTCGATACATCGTAAAATAACATCATCGTCTTACATTTTTTAAGGTCGTTCTTTAACGAACCAGATAGATACGCGAAAACGACGTGAATCATCGCAATTTGCAATCGGTTGTACCTAATTGCAATATCATGTCGCAAATCAATATGAGCTTGTATGCGCTTATGTGAATGATATGGCGGACGTTGGATCACTTCTTTCTCGCGGACGAGCTGGACCCTCGTCGTCGATAATTATATGATTTACCGTAGAGACCCATTCTTGTGCGCAATTTTTCGATTCGATCCTCAGTTCTTGAAAGTGATGATACACTACCAACCACATATACATGTTTATCACTGTAAAAAAAATCGAAAGCAACATTAGAGAATCTACTGGATATTTTCATGAATATATAATAATATTAATCTTTTTATGTGCAAAAAATCTTTGTGATTAAGTATAACTGGTTTTTGTTATTTACTTTATAATCTTTTTATAATTAAAATTATTAAAATTATATTAATTTTCGCTATATAATTATAATATATAATTATATTATATTATATATAATTATAATATATAATTATATTAGTTTTCGCTATTGATACAATTAAGGTTCATATTCATTCATTAACTGGATGAAATCTTAAGATCATCTAAATCCATAAAATTAAGACGATCTTGAATATAAAGGAAATAACTTTCTTTAAAACAATATATTTTTTCCTGATATATGTTATTAAAGGTTGCGATTGATAGTAAGTACTCACTGAGTGCAACTAGATCGAAGAAAAACGTAAAAAGACCGGAGAGAACCAGATCGTAGTTTATGAACACAATCGTTCTATAAATGATGATCACAAGAAAGACGACGATTATTATCATATTTAGGACCATCCATGGTAGCATCATAAATGCATTTTTCTGCAAAATCAAACCGGAATTATGTCAGTGTTACGTTAGTCGTTCAATCTGAAGTACATTTTATGTAAAATATACACACGGAAAAAAAATGCTGTTGCTTCAATTAAAGTCTACGTCACGGGCTGCCACAGACATACATAGTTCATTCAATGATATTTTTATTAGACCAAATATCTGGATTATTAAAACAACTATCCAGATATTTGGTCTAATAAAAATATCATTGAATGAACTATGTATGTCTGTGGCAGCCCGTGACGTAGACTTTAATTGAAGCAACAGCATTTTTTTTTCCGTGCATACTTTCACATAATGAATATATTAAAATACAATATTTACTAGTGATATATAAGATATATAAATATTTTGCATCATTAATTTTATTTATTATATTTATTAATTATATTTATTAATTTTTTTTGAAGAAATCAAAACAATTTTTTTTACGAAAAAATTTGTGGTGTCTTTTCATATATTTTGTAACTTGATATGTAAATTCCTGGCATTTTTAATTACAATGGAAATATTTTTATAATAATATATTTACTTTTATACTGCCGATTACGAGTAGCGTACAGAACAGGATTATTATGCAGTAGTAGATCGCGAAGATAATCTCTGCGGTCGTTTTGTCTAGACCGATTATCGTTTCCCATTCTATGTTCGTCATTAAGATCACAATTAGAGAAAGCACGCTGAACACCTATACAAAAAGTTTATATAGCATTGAATTGCGTAATTTAAAAAATATACAAATGATGGGATACTTACGATTCCCAATACACCGATAATAATTGTTCCCGTTTTCAGGGAACAACATCCGCAACATGTTGTCAATTGCATCCTGAAATGGAGAGAAACTGTGAAATTAAATCTTATCGAAATAATATAATGACATAAATAATGAATGTATTATTTATTTTCGCTGCACAAATATAATTTTATACATAATTATTTTTTAATAAATCATTCTCTCTTTTATACTAAATATGATAGACATATATTACAAGTTTTGAGAAATCAAAAGCAGTGTCTACTGACAAATAATTAAAAAAAAAAGTTTAAAAGAAGATAAGCAATATGACGGGTGTTTTCTCTAATCGTTCGTTTCTCTTTAGAAACATCGAAAGGGAAGAATAAAAAAAAACTTCGCTTTTGAAACAGTTACTACTGCTTCATATACTTTTCAAGACTATCTCGATTGAAATAGATGCCAGGATAATTCTGTCATAGATCTGTCACACCCGCACCTCGTCCCCTTAATCCCAAGATGGCGTAACGCGGTGAGTTACAGAATATTGAGCGATAATGCAACGAGATCTCATTTTTGCCCTGACATATCACAATGTCATGAACAAAGTTAATTCGTGTTATATCGAAAATAAGGGAAATTTAGGTCATTGGCACATGCGCGCGCTTATGTCCATTTTAAATACTTCAGGGAGAATCGCTGGCTCGCGCACTGATCTTCCTTCCGGCGTTTATTATTTCTCTGACACCCGGAGAACCCAAAATCCGGCGACGGAGAAGATAAACACTAGATCTGTGCGAAATAAATGCACACGAATGCATAACATTACGTATACAATAATAAAAAAAAAAATTATAAAATACCACGCGCGACGGCTAAAATTTTTTGCAAGTTATTTAGAGTCATGTCCTTGACAACATATGTCAAGGTCATTGAAATCGGTGAGGTCGGCGCTAATAGCAAAGTTTACCATTATTTATTTATTTACTTATTTATATACATACCTTTTTCTATTCGTCTCTCTTTCTCTCTCTTTCTTTCTTCTCTATCTTCTCTCTCTGTCTCTCTTTCTCTCTCTTCTTTTCTTTTTTCTTTAAAATCGTACACATCAGAGCATTAGTCGTATACTGTTTTTAATGTGTGATTGTATATTCTTTATATATCCTGTATTTTACCCCTTCCATCAAATAATTATTTGATTTCATCTTTATATTTAAACGATACGACTGAGCATATACAAGATTAATTGCGAAAAGAAACCGGTTAGGTATAAAATGATTATAGTATATTGCCATTGTTACGTCCAGCGGACTCCACGATTCTTTTCTTTCATCGTGAATAGAGATTAGCGGTATCTTAAGAGCGCACTACGTCTAGAAATAAACAAATGGAAACTGAAAGATGAGACAAACTTTTTGAAAACAAAAATTGAAAGGATATATGATACAAAAAGGAAACTAGAGCATATCTGATCTAAGAAGATAAACAAATTAATCAGTAAATATTAACCACTAGAAGCTCGGGTGACAAATTCTCTTACGAATCTAAACTATGCTTGACAGCTCTCGTAATAAACAATTTCGGTACCAGGAATCCAAATGAAAAACGAAACGGACGGTAAAAATGATACCACGTGCGCTCGCCTGACAGATCTCCGTTACGTGATATCTACGTTAAGATAAACTCAAGTAGATAATAAAAGGCATAACTCTTACTCAATTGCAACAACTCTCCATTGGGCGAACCTAATTCTGTAAACAAAAGCCTTCACCAATACCTAAGGTTCTAACATCTCCTATGCTAAAGGCAACGCCCCCAGTAACATCGGCGGGCGTGATTAAAAAATTTAATTCGTGAAAAAATATTAACAAAGCCAATGGAGAGGAAGAGCTAAGGGCTTAATATACTCCGAACCATTCCTCGCGGAGGCATTATTGTTACAGTTCATCATTCATTACAGTTTATTAGGCATTACAGTTCCTTAATCAGTACAGTTCATTTTTTGTTCAGTTCAATTTACAGTTCACACTTCTATTCATTTCTCGATTTGTTAGTTCTCCATAATCACTTCGACTTCAGTTTTAAATTTTTATACAAATTCTAAGTGTTTCGAAAACCGCGTTGTTTGGTGCAAGTTAGAAAAATTTAGACATTCAGTGCAAATTTGGAAGACCTTGTGCCAAGTGACTGCAGCGACTGCGAACCGCATTCCAACCAGCCAGGTCGAGCTCTAGCCGATTCATCGGAACTCCCCTCGCCTTTCGGAGCCTTTCATTGTCTGATTTTCATTTGTTACCAACGTACTCGATAAGTAGTAAGTGGTTTGAATGTTCTCAAATCTGTTTTCTTTTCTTTCACATCTGTGAATTTGAAATAATTCTTGGATTATTAATTATAATAAATCAATCAGTAACTTCAATCATTTACGTTTCAATCTTAACTTACTTTCCTATTCGGCCTTCTCTCCCCTGGTCTGTTCGTTCGACTCTAGGACACGCATCGTCTAGCGTTTGTCTAGAGGTAAGTAGGTTACACCCTCCCGCTGACTCTTCCTTTATTTGAGTCTGGACGTAACACCATATATTGGGTGTTTTTCAGCTACGGAACACAATCATACACTGTGTGACACAGTGTTATACAATGTCGATTTGTAGTTGGAACGCTGTTCCGATCTATATGCTCAATATGTGTGTATATCAACGATTTGAGCAGCCATAAAGAAAATCAACAATGTGTAATAATATTAGGTGTACAACTTTGCTTCCGCCGTTTTTTTTTCCGAAATTCGAGGCTTTATTGTAAAAAACTGGTTATACATTTATGATTCAAAGTATTGTCCATCGCTGGCCACTACTTTCTCCTATCTTTCGAGCAGCGTACAAATCTTGCGTTGAAAAAACTGGTCATCTTTTGAAGCAATCCACGAATCGATCATATTTTTTAACAAAAATTTTTTATGTATTATTAATTTATTTATCAGATATGTACAGAAGAGATTAAAAACTGATCAAATTATGTAAATTAAGTATAATATAGTTACAATATTATCTTATTAACAAAATTTATAAGTTGAATTAATCAATTGAGCGATGACATAATCGAACACATCATTCTAGCTGTGTACGATTGTGTCGACTTGTGTCGTAGTTGGAAAGTACTGAGTCGTACACAGTGTTACACAGTGACGCCTATATACGTTGCTGGAAAGCACCCATTATGTTATTACGCACATATATCCAGCCAGGCGCGCACGCTCATACACACATACACACACATGTATAATTATACCAAGTATACGTGCCAAGTAAACTGTTATATGTATTTACAAATCCCACAAAAATAATGATAAATATAAGCAAATAGAGGCAATGTGAGCCACAAGTATCACGTTAAGAGATTTATTAATTGTGTGAAAGCAATTGACAAATATCAAATTCAAGCAAATAAAAAGTGATACGAATTAACATACAAAAATGAAAATAAGAAGGCAAACGCTTCGGCCCTTTTTTGTGGCCATCTTCAGCGCAATTAAAATAATAAATACATGAAAACATAAAAAAATATCGCAGTCAGTAATTAAAGTTAGATTGTAAACGTAAAAATTCGCTCAAACAAGCATCTCGAGCGGAAGAACTCCCCGGATGGTAGGCCAGGAAGTTCACAAGGTAAAAAGTTGTAAAGGCTTGCCGGCATGTTGTCATACGAAAAAACCAGAAAAATCGAGATTCCTGTAGAAACGTGCAATACAGAGTTAAGAGCGCTCACGAGTTAATAGTAACAATGTAAAACTTACATACAAATGCAACAGATCTATCACAATAATGAGTATATGACGCGACACAATTATTTATCCACGATACTTTAAAGACCAAGTTATCACTAAGATGTTTCACGAGAATTTAAACTTGTGTGTATACAGTGCTAGGTCATTGGCCCTCAGTGACATAAGAGTAAACACAACAACTCGTTACACGATCGAATATCTTTTTTATATCGGGATGGAAGAAAACAAAATATACGCGTCTTGAAAATAATCACAAAGATCATCTTATGCATTAAATGTTGGGGAGTTTATCCAGCGCAGTAATATATGTCTGGTGCAAGCCCTCGGTATCCGTTTGTAAATTCAGACCATTAATTTGTCTCCTTATAAACAACATCTCAGATATCAGTCGTTTGTTTAGATATTTTTCACTGTCTAGAATCGGACATGGTTCCAGTCAAAATCATGGTCAAACTCTAATCTATGATCAGTAATCACCGAACTAACTGTTGTATTTCTACGTATGTGGTTGCGGTGTTCCCCGACTCTCGTCTGTAATCTCCTGCCAGTCTGACCTACATAAGAGGCATCACAGTCTGCACAATTGATCTTATAGATGACATTAGTACAAGATGCACTGGGAAGAACGTCTTTATGTACCTTAATAAAGCGTAACAATTTATTAAGACTACAGTAAGAAAGCTTAACGTCAAGATCTTTTATGATGTTTTTAAATTTATGCGAAATGGTATGGACGAAAGGGATTGTAAAATAGGAGACAATCTTCTTGTTAACATCCTCCTCGTCAAGTGGAAGGCCCCTACTAGAGATCAGAAATTTGAGGCGGTTAAAAATTGTCTGAAAAATGAAATCTAACGGATAGTTATTGTCCAGGAAAATTTTTATGATAAAGTCAAAATTTTTTTGGTGAAATTGTGGGTGTGCAAGTAAGAAAGCTCTATCCACAAGGCCAATAATGATACCTTTTTTTTGGCATGTCGGATGTTGAGAGAGAAAATTGAGGTATCGGCCTGAAAAGGTAGGCTTATGGAACCAGTCAGTTATTAAGCGGTTGTTAATTAGAAGTATTGAGATATTTAAAAAGTTCAATTTATCACTGTCAGCAAAAATAATGATATCAAAAAATTGCGCCAATTAAAAATTATACAAATATTTTAATCAAAAACAGTTAGACAAAAAATAGTTGTTTTAATTTCTTACGAAAATAATGATATTAAAAAGTTGTGCTAACTAAGTAAAAATTTATTTATTTCCAATATTAAAAGAAAAAAATATCCAATAATACAAAATACAAAAGAGCATAAAATAAAAATTTAATAGAAAAATTAAAACTTAAAAATTAATATAAAAAATTTAAAATTTATACAAAAATTAAAAATTAATAGAAATAAAAAAAATTAAAAAATTTTAATTAAAAACAATTTGGCGCTGCTAACTTTCAAAGTATATATTAAAACTAACAAATAATAAATTTAATTTGAGTCGAAATTTAATTTATAGAATTATATTTAATTTAGTTACATCAATAACTGCAATGTAAGTGTAATAAAAAATACATTAATTTCAACATATTGTTTAGTTTAGCAGCGCCAAGTTTTTTAATTAAAATTTTTTAAGTACAAACTATGAAATGTATTAAAAAGGTTGTGTAATTCTAGTAATTTAAATTTATTATACGACACGTGCATATAATTCATTTACATAATAATTTTGCACGCAAGAGTAATTAAGTTGCACTGCATTAAATTTGATGTTTAGAATAATTTGATTCAATTTCAAAATATTTCGGTTATTTTTTGTGAACATAGTTATGTAACTTGTTTATTACTCATATTTGACGTTTTATATAATTTTTAAAACCAAATTCATTAACTATGTCCTCAAAAATAACCAATGAGCTTCAAAATTAGATCTAACAATTCAAAAAACATTTAAAAATTGTCTAATTTAAGTGGCTAACTTAAACATTTTAATTAATAAAAAAAGGGAAAGGCCAATTGAAGCCCGGATGCGGTACTTAGAATGTAATAAATATGTGATGTTTTTAAAAAACGATGTTAATGAACATAAGATAAATTAATAAATAAAAAATATAAATGAATTAAACCAAGCGTTTTGGTCCATTTCGGGTTCTTATCAATGAAAATAATCAAAATTTTAACACATAAAGAGACATTGTAAGGCAGAGTAATACGGAACGCAACAGTAGACTTATAATAGTGTTACGATACGCTTACAACATTACGTGCAATATGCATAGACATTGAGCCGCTCGGTAGATCAATTCTGCAAAGTTATTATGTAAATGAATTATATGGATGTCATATAATAAATATGCAATACGTAATGAAGTTGATAATCTCTGGAAAATTTCACCTGGTTTTTTAATTTATATATAGGGGATATTTTGATTAAATGAAACGTTTGTTTTGTAACATTAAAATTGGATCAATGAATTAAACAAAACAAAACACTTTCAATCTTTTTAAAAAATGTATTTTTTTAACTTTAGTTATAAACTTTAGTATGCTGTTATTAGATTTTTAAAGTGAATATTGTCCAAATATTATCTAAACACTTCTTATTTTTCACGAATGTTTTCTTTATGTCTGAGATCTATTATTGCAAATAGAATATAACACAAAGTATTCTAATTAATTTCTAAATATTAAAAATTATAACAGCGGTTTTACAACTTATCTGAAAGAATCTTTAATTTATTTATATAAATTATTTCTTAACTATTATAAGATTGAAATGTCAAGTTCTACGAACTATCAAAATATACGATCTTCACAATGAGAGCTACTCATGAAATAAGCACAGCGAGAGAAACAATCAGCATCGCGGAAAAGAGACAACAATGTCAATAACATGCCTTTTTTAGAGAGGGATTTCCGGCCTCACATCTCGATAAGTAACCGCGTATATTTATCAATTGGTGGAAAACACTCTTTTATTAAAAAGACTTGAGACGTTAAATGGAATAATCGAATGGCGCAGTTAGTTTAGTAACATAGGCTGCGTTCCGTTTCATGAATCATGCGCATGAAATGGAATGCAGCCATTATCATTCTATGTGATGTCAGACTGGTATAGCGCAGAGAATTTCTGGTATGTTTTATAAATCTTCTTGTTAGTCGAACTAAACCGGTTTTACCTGGCGAAAAATTATTTTATGTATGCAAAAATTTTACATGAATTTCTAATAAACGCTTAATTAACGGTGACTAAGTAATGATAACTTTTGACAGTTTGTTTTTTGTTGCAAAAGATTTGATTTCTCTTCAGAAAATATCTTTGAAAAGATTTCAGATATCTTTTGCATGTAAAAGAGGTTTTAAAATTATATAATTTCTTTGTAATTATATTGCCAATTAGAACTAGTAATTATTTTTTCTTTTTTTTTTGCAAAATATCTAACAACTAATTGTAAGAGACTTTCAAAATATGAAGCTCTGATTATGCGAGATGCTTTAAATTTACAAATTTTATCAAATATACAAAACAAACATTTTTTATATAATTTTCTGATTAAATCTGATGATTTCGCATACACACAATTTCTGTATTGAAATAGTTAACTTAGTGGTGGCACTTTTTCATGAGAACGTACAATGTTTAAAAAGTAGATTTTTCATCGCACTCAAAAAAATGGTTGCGTTATTCAATTTGATCTGAAAAAATTTGATGAATAACGTTGTCCCGGCGAGCGAGATCGAACTTTCGTGTAAGTAGATGCATAAAGCGCACGTGGAACGAACAATAAAGAGTCTGCTCTTTACTATATTTTACTTACTTTACGCACTTTTTGTATTTAAAATGATACAAATGATAGATAACGCATATTTCAAAGAAGAAATAAAAATGATAATAGAAAAATGTAAAAAAGAACAGACTCAGAAAACAATTATCTTCAATTGTTCTACAAATAGAACAGAAAATTTACAATAAATTTACAATGAATATGTAATTAATACATTAATATATAAGTTGAAATAATTAACATTTTTTATAAGAAATTAATTCAAATTTAGCTGGGCGCACGTCGGTGAGCTGGACGCACGTCGATGAGCCGCGCGCCTGTTAGTATGCGGCGGCGCACACTTCAAGGCGCGCGGCTCAACGACGTGCGCCAGCTAAAAGTCGGCGCTGATTGGCCAGACTTTACTTAATAATAACTCCTTTATTAAGCGTTATAAAAAAATGGTTCAGGACTTTTTGACTCAGTTTGAGCCAATCTACTTCCACCTTTCTTTTGGTTACTTATTTGTCGGACACCCTGTATATATCACATTCGTACCTTCATATTTATCGCAATATAATCATTATCCGGAAATGCGACATTATATGTTAGATATAAGTATTACGTTATCTGCATGAAACCAAACACAGATGTCTTTATTTAGATTGTAAATTTGGATTGTTGAAAGCATATTCTGATGCTAGTTGGGACAATGCTGAAAATCGATAATCATTTTCAAGGGGAGTTATATTTATTGGTAATTCTCTCATATCATGTAAAGGTAAAAAAACAACGAAACGTTGAAAATTCAACTTGTGAAGTAGAATTATTTGCAGTCTCTGAAATTGTTAAAGATGTCATGCGGCTTCAAAATATGCTTACGGAATTGGATTGTACCAAATATATTAGCAAACCAATTAATGTATTTTGCGACAACCAAGCTACTATCCAATGGTTAAAGAACGCAAAGTCATCAACTAAGACACAACATGTTAATATCAAATTTCATTTTGTTCGTGATGAAATTGAGAATGGAATTATTAATGTATCGTATGTTAACACACATGATATGATTGCAAATTATTTGACAAAATCTGCTTCCAAAGAGAAACTTGAATGGTGCTGTAAGCACATGCATTTGATTCAATAATTTTGTTTTATGTAAATGCGATTACTTATAAGTGAGATCGGTTTGTAGGGGGAGAGTGTAGGAATGTACATTTAACAAACCAATCTATGTATATACTTATGTTCCATGTTTAGTTATTTTGTGATAATTCATAATTCTATGACATCTCATATAGAGAGCAGTATGTTTTGTTTTTCCATGGTCGACCGTCTTCACTATATTGACAAAGATCCATAGAAACAATTGTGTTACATTATTTTATACGCATTGAAATATATTGATATATATATTTATTCCGGATTGTTTATTCTCCAAAAATACCAACATTTTACTATAGGCTGTGAGATGCTTCTACGAAACATCCGGTCACTTAAATCGAAATATATCGTGCTTCGATGTACAAAAAATAAGCTGCGCAATAAATGAATCTATCTCTACGCGACATTAATAATATATTAGGTCTACCGGAAAGTTCTGTCCGTTTTTGGAATAAAACAAAATACAAATTTTTATTACCGTCAATAAACTTTATTAAATAATGTAATTGCCATTATTATTAATGATTTCTTGCCAGCGTGAGGGCAATTTGTATATCCCATTTTCGAAAAATGTTTTATCTTTTGATGCGAACCAGTGCTTGTTTGATATCTTGTTCCTTTTTGAATTTTTTGCCCCTCAAAAAGTTTTGTAAGGACAAAAACAAGTGATAGTCGGTGGGTGCTAAGTCCGGGGAATATGGTGGATGCGACAGAATTTCCCAGCCTAGTTCTGCACTTTTTTGACGAGTCCCCAAAGCAGCATGTGGCCTGGCATTATCATGATGCAGTATGATGTTCTTCCTATTGTACATCGCCGGCCTCTTTTCTTGGACTGCTGTATTTAAATTATCCAGTTGCTGACAATACTTCTCCGAATAATGGCAATTACATTATTTAATAAAGTTTATTGACGGTAATAAAAATTTGTATTTTGTTTTATTCCAAAAACGGACAGAACTTTCCGGTAGACCTGATATGTATAGATTCGCGAAAAGTGCGCAAAAAGATATATTCCTATGTCTCGTCTCGCTTTCACTCTATCTCTTCTACAATTTGTTATATGATAAATTGCGATTATGTGTATGAAAAAGCCAGTTTTGTCGACTCGATACATCGTAAAATAACATCATTGTCTTACATTTTCCAAAGTTGTTCTTTAACGAACCAGGTAAATACGCGAAAACAAAGTGAATTATCGCAATTTGCAATCGGTTGTACCTAATTGTAATATCATGTTGCGAATCAATATGAGTTTGTATGCGCTTATGTGAATGATATGGCAGACTTTGGATCACTTCTTTCTCGCAGACGAACTGGACCCCCGTCGTCGATAATTATACGATTTACCGTAGAGACCCGTTCTTGTGCGCAATTTTTCGATTCGATCCTCAGTTCTTGAAAGTGATGATACACTACCAACCACATATACATGTTTATCACTGTAAAAAAAATCGAAAGCAACATTAGAGAATCTACTGGATATTTTCATGAATATAATATTAATTTTTTTTACGTGCAAAAAATTTTTGTTATTAAACATGACTGATTCTTGTTATTTACTTTATAATCTTTTTATAATTAAAATTATATTAATTATATTAATAATAGATATTCATTTATTAACTGGATGAAATCTTAAGATCATCTATCCATAAAATTGAGACGATCTTGAATATAAAGGAAATAACTTTCTTTAAAATAATATATTTTTTCCTGATATATGTTATTAAAGATCTTGCGGTTGCATTTAAAGCGCGATTGACGGTAAGTACTCACTGACTGCAGCTAGACCGAAGAAAAACAAAAAAAGACCGTCGGAAACCATATTGTTTATAAACAACACAATCGTCCCATAAACGGTGATCACAAGAAAGACGACGATTATTATCATATCTTGGACCATCCATGGTAGCATCATAAATGCATTTTTCTGCAAAATCACACCGGAGTTATGTCAGTGTTACGTTAGTCGTTCAATCTGAAATACATTTTATGTAAAATATACATATTTTCACATAATGAATATATTAAAATACAATATTTACTAGTGATATATAAGATATATAAATATTTTGCATCATTAATTTTATTAATTATATTTATTAATTACATTTATTTTTTTTTTTTAAGAATTCAAAACAATTTTTTTTGCAAAAAATTTTTGGTGACTTTTCACATATTTTGCAACTTGATATGTAAGTCCCTGGCGTTTTTAATTACAATGGAAATATTTTTATAATAATATTTTTACTTTTATACTGCCGATTACGAGTAGCGTACAGAACAGGATTGTTATGCAATGGTAGATCGCGAAGATAATCTTTGCGGTCGTTGTAAATATCAGTGGCCATTTTATGTTCACCGTGAAGGTCTCAATTAGAAAAAACACGCTGAACACCTACACAAAAAGTTTATATAGCATTGAATTGCGTAATTTAAAAAATTTACAAATGATGGGATACTTACGATTCCTAATACTCCGATAATAATTGTTCCCGTTTTTAGGGAACAACATCCGCAACATATTGTCAATTGCATCCTGAAATGGAAAGAAACTGTGAAATTAAATCTTATCGAAATAACATAATGACATAAATAATGAATGTATTATTTATTTTCGCTGCACAAATATAATTTTATACATAATTATTTTTTAATAAATCATTCTCTCTTTTATACTAAATATGATAGACATATATTACAAGTTTTGAGAAATCAAAAGCAGTGTCTACTGACAAATAATTAAAAAAAAAAGTTTAAAAGAAGATAAGCAATATGACGGGTGTTTTCTCTAATCGTTCGTTTCTCTTTAGAAACATCGAAAGGGAAGAATAAAAAAAAAAATTCGCTTTTGAAACAGTTACTATTGTTTCATATACTTTTCAAGACTATCTCGATCGAAATAGATGCCAGGACGATAATTCTGTTATAAATCTGTTACACCCGCACCTCCTTAATCCCAAGATGACGTAACGCGGTGAGTTACAGAATATTGAGCGATGATGCGACGATATCTCATTTTTGCCCTGACAATGTCATGAACAAAGTTAATTTGTGTTATATCGAAAATAAGAGAAATTTAGGTTATTGGCACGTGCTCGCGCCTATTTTAGATACTTAAGGGAGAATCGCTGGCTTGCGCGCTGACCTTCCTTCCGGCGTTTATTATTTCTCTGACACCCGGGGAATCCGAGATCCGGCGACGGGGAAGATAAACACGAGATCTGTGCGATATAAACGCACACGAATGCATAACGTTACGTATACAAAAACAAAAAAAATTTATAAAATATCACGCGCGCTTTTCTTTTTAATATTATTTCCGGCCCCACATCTCGATAAGCAACCGCATAATCAGCATTTATTTGATGCAAAAGATTTGATTTCTCTTAAGAAAATGTCTTTAAAAAGACTTCAAATATCTTTTGCATGTAAAAGAGTTTTTAAAACAATATAATTATTAGTAACGGTGTTTTTAATTAGGAATTAATTATTTTATTTCACCCGACGGGTTGTTGACAATGACCCACGGCGCTATATATAAAAGATCGATCTTCCAAAAGACTATATTTCCAGAGTAAAGTTGGACGCCAGGCGCGAGGATTCGCGCCACACAAAACTCGTATAAAACTTTTAAAATATAGAATCGAGACTTTTCTCGATTTTTATCGCAACGGCAAAATCCGCGATCGCTCAGTCAACGGAATTGGTAGAGGGAATGATTCGTACGAACGGGATGGGAGATAATCGAAAGAAGCAATCTGAAATTCTGAAAACACAAAAATATAATAGAATAACATTATATTAACAAGCAGAATAAAAGAAAACAAGAAATATTTTGATATTCGGAGATAAAGGGTTTGTAGCGACGAGAAATCTTCTGGATCTCGATATCGATTATCTGCGCTCGCCCACGAAAGTTGTAAAGATGTAATATGTAAAGAAGTATAAAAGGCGCTCGGATGGCAGCCTTAGCGATAACGGAAGGGTTCGCACGCAGATATATATTCTCGAAGTCGTTGTTTGTATTCGATTTTTCCTTATGTCTCGCCTTTACAATAATTACGGCGACAGCAAATGACGGGCTAAAGAGAGAGTACGATAATTTCGCGACTAACCGGACGCAATCCCTAGAGAATGCTATAATTCCGCGCAATATTGCAATTCTTTAACGTCGATAGATTCTTTAAATAATTCGCAAGATATCGGCTACGCAGCATTTACCGGAAGAACGACACATATGCGACACGCGAGAGTTTCACGACATACGCAATAATTTCGAGACGCGAAATATCGGGAGGGCCCCAATTGCCTACAAATTTATTGCCAACAGACTGTTTGCCAACAAATCGTTTGCGCACAAAACTTTTTGCCTATAAATCTATTGCCTACAAGTTCTTTTGCGCACAAATAATAAAATTTAGGCATAAACGTACGTTTGTACATACGATACTATTGCGCACAAGCTGCATTGCACACATGATATTATTGCCTACAGACACTTTTGCGCACAAATAGAAAAATTGAAAGATAAACGTACCTTTGCTCACACGATACTATTGCGCACATAAAAAGTTATTAACAAAAAAAGTTTAAAATTTACCAAAGTACATGCACAGACAGGAAGCACGCGCGCGCACACACACACACATACACACACACGTGGGGGTGCAAGGGGGGCCGAAGGCCCCTTGCAGAGGGAGGATTTTAACTCACTCTCTTTTTTTAATTCCGTGTTCTACAATTTTTATTTTATAATACTTTTTGATAAATCTAATAATTTTAGTGTTGTTTTAAGTTTTTTGGTGAAAATTATTTGTTTCATTTTTTGCGATTTTCTTCAAAACGAAGCAAAAACGAGCAGATCTCTAAAGGACTTTTTGTCAGTTTATCGGTCCCCTACACGCTCCTAAAGTTTTGACATTTAAACTGGGGACACCCTGTATAATGAAGGATACTACAGCGTGGCATTGATGCAATCACATCTGTAAAAGAGAACCTAATAGCCGTGCGAAGGATGCCTTATGAAATTTTCCTGGGAAATAGTGGAACTCTACATCGTTCCTTGATGTTTATATTGAAACTTGGCTGGCAGTCAAGATTTCGTTTGCCAGTACTTCTAGCCATTATCTCTGTCGCCATGGATACAATTAGAAATAGAATTTGGTGACAATGCTGATCAACATAAGTTACAGTTTATTTGCTGTTCATCGACACATAGTGGGGGACTAGTAGGCTTGTGTCGAGTTTCGTGAGATACAAAGTTTTACAGTACAATCGACTTTAAACAATCTTACCCTGTGGATGAGACTTGTATGGTAGACAAATCTTTCCAAAAGATAGGCCCACTGCCAACGAAGAATTAAACTATACGGAGATCGTTAAATCCATTCGACAAGGATGAGTTGTACGACAAGGTATCTCGTTTTATACGGAAAAATTGAAATGTCAAATTTTTCAGAAGCATTGATCCGCCGAATCCGCCGAAGCATTGATATGGAATGATAACGTTACGGAGTATTCTCTCACACATATACTCTATCCAAAGAGAGAATAATATTGGTCAGCGCATAGGCGGGCAAAGTGGGGAGAACATGGCGACATACTCAATACCGTATACGTAGATTAATAATTTTTATTCATCATTGTTTACGTGGCCTCGTTTATTTTTCTTCACATGAGATGACATTAGTGGCACTACAATATTCAGTTATTCCATCGCACTTTGTAAATACTTTCTTAGCAGAAAAACACTAAAAATACTCGTTGACGCTGCACCAAACCGTTCGAGGGTTATTTTGAGAAAATAATTGCAACTGTCAATATGTCAAATGATCGGGGGGACTTGTTCTCATGATTGAGCAAAATACGCGTATATGGATAAAAAATATATTATATAAATTAGATAAGATAGAATTAGATAAGATTAGATAAAATAAAAAATGTTCTGCATTGCAGATAAGTAGACTAAAAAAAATGAGATAAAAAATGTTTGTTAAATAAACTGCTTTTTCTTATTTTTTTTTTTATTTTCAACAATTGTTTTTTTATCATATGTTTATTTCCATCGCAAATCTGATTTTCTTCATTAAATATTCTTTTATTAAGATTACAAAAACACATATGTGAGATCTGTTAATGAAAAATATTTAATTGATCGTATTTTTTTAAACAAAACGTGCAAAAAGATATATGTCATAAAAAAAATCCTCGGGAAAATTGTGCAACTATCAGGTTGTAACGCATGATACTGGATGAAAAAAGGAAATAATCTATACTTATGATAAATAATATTATAAAACAAAAGTTTGAAATATGGCACATGTCGTTTAAAAGAAAAAAAACAAGAATAAAAAATTAAACTCAAGTATGTGGAGACTCATTCTTTATAACAATATTGCGAAAAATATTTTATATCTCGCAAACTATCTCTGCTTTTCTTGATAGATAAGAAAGAAAAAAGTTGATTCTTTGATTATACGATAATTTAAAAACTCTACCTCTTATTATTATTGTTATGTTGGTGATCTGAGTAGGGCAGTGTTTTTTCATATTATAAAAAAAAACAAGTTATAAACTTATAATAACACAAGTCAATTGGTCAATTCATTAGTTTGCTAATTATCTATCTTTTCCTCCTTGGAGTGGTGGTTGCTTTAACTTCCAAAGGTGATTTATGCGTTACAAATAAATATTTATTGACGGATATATTTAAATTATATATAATAATATGACACACTCTCAATGATAACATAATTATTAATTAAATTTAATTGGCATATAATGTGTATTAGAATTATAATATATATTACAATTGTGCATTATCTCGCGTATTAAAAGAATATTATTTATAGAAAATGAAAGTATATATATAATAATCTCTGCTTATATATATTACTTGATACTTAATTTAATAAAATAAACATTTATTTTAATTAATTATAAATAAGTAATTATAAAAAAATAATACTTAATTTAAAAATATATGAAAAACATATTTTTCTTTGTATATATAAGCAACTTAATTTGTTGTTATTGTTATTAATTTGTGAATTATAAATTAATAATTTTATGTAAAAGATTTAATGCTATAGTTGCTTGAAAATAAAATTCTTTAAAGTTATAATATTTATTTGTCAGAAGAAAAATAATTATATAAAAAAAATAAATACTGTCTAATCTAAATAATGCTTACTTTTACTATAGGTTGTGGGATGCTTTTACGAAACATCCGGTCATTTAAATCAAAATATATCGTGCTTTGGTGTACGAAAAATAAGCTGCGCAATAGATGAATATATCTCTACGCGACGTTATTAATATATAGATTCGCGAAATGTGCGCGAAAAGATATATTCTTATGTCTCGTCTCGCTTTTACTCTATCTCTTCTACAATTTATTATATAATAAATTACGATTATGTGTAAGAAAAGGTCAGTTTTGTAGTCGATTCAAGATAACGTCATCGTTTTACATTTTTCAAGATCGTTCTTTAACGAACCAGGTAGATACGCGAAAACGATATGAATTATCGCAATTTGCAATCGGTTGTATCTAATTGCAACACCATGTCGCGAATCAATATGAGTTTATATGCGCTTATGTGAATGATATGGCGGACGTTGGATCATTTCTCTTTCGCGGACGGACTGACCCCTGTAATCGCGCAACCACGCATTCAATCCTTTTCTCATGGTCGTCGATAATTATACGGTTTTCCATAGGGACCCATTCTTTTGCTCAATTTCTCGATCCTCAGTTCTTGAAAGTGACTGTACACTACCAGCCACATGTACGTGTATATCACTGTAAAAAGATCGAAACCAACATTAGGGAATCTGCTGGATATTTCCATGAATATAATAGCAATTTTTTTATGTGCAAGAAATCTTTGTTATTAAGTATAACTGATTTTTGTTATTTACTTTATAATCTTTTTATAAGTAAAATTATTTAAATTATATTAATTTTAGCTATATAATTATAATATATAATTATATTAGTTTTTGCTATTGATACAAATTAAGGTTTATATTAATTCATTAATTGGATGAAATCTTAAGATCATCTAAATTTATAAAATTGAGACGATCTTGAATATAAAGGAAATAATTTTCTTTAAAATAATATGTTTTTCTCTGATATATATTATTGAAGGTCTTGCGGTTGCATTTAAAGCGCGATTGATTAAGTACTCACCGACTGCAACTAGACCGAGGATAAGCCAAAGAAGACCGGTAAGCACATCGTGGTTTATGAAGAACACGATCGCGTTATAAAGGACGCTCACAAGAAGGCCGACGGCCAACATTATACCCAGGACAACCCATGGTAGCATCATAAATGTATTCTTCTGCAAAATCAAACCAGAATTATGTGAGTGTTACGTTACTTGTTCAATCTGAAATACATTTTATGTAAAATATACATACTTTCACATAATGAATATATTAAGATATTACTAGTGATATATAAGAATATTTACTGGTGATATATAAGAATATTTACTAGTAATATATAAGAATATTTACTAGTGATATATAAATAAGATATAAAAATGCATATTTTGCATCATTAATTTTATTTATTATATTTATTAATTAAATTTATTTCTTTTTTATAAGAATTTTTTCATGCAAAAAATTTTTAATTGTATTTGGTGACTTTTCATATATTTTGCAACTTGATATATAAGTCCCTGGCATTTTTAATTACAATGGAAATATTTTCTTACTTTTATAGTGCCGATTACGAGTAGCGTAGAGATCAGGATTGTCATGCAGAGGTTGATTGCGAAGATGATCTTTACAGTGGTTTTGTCCAGGATGTCGATGATTATCGTTTTCCATTCTACGTTCGCCGTGAAGATCACAATTAAAGAAAGCACGGCGAGCACCTGCACAAAAAATTTATGTAGTATTGAATCACGTAATTTAAAAAATATATGAATGATGGGATACTTACAATTCCGCATACTCCGTTAAAAATTGTTCCTGTTTTCAGGGAACAACATCTGCAACACGTTGTCAGTTGCATCCTGAAATAGAGAGAAACAGTGAAATTAAATCCTACCGAAATAACATAATGACATAAATAATGAATATATTATTTATCGCTGCACAAACATAATTTTATACATAATTGTTTCTTAATAAATTGTACTCTCTTTTATACTAAATATGATAGACATATATTATAAGTTTTGAGCAATCAAAAGCAGTGTCTACTGACGAATAATTAAAAAAAAAAGTTTAAAAGAAGATAAACAATATGACGGTGTTTTCTCTAATCGTTCATTTCTCTTTAGAAACATCGAAAGGGAAGAATAAAAAAAAGCTTTGCTTTTGAAACAGTTACTAATGCTTCGTATACTTTTCAAGACTATGTCGATCGAAATAGATGCCAGAACGATTCACATAATTCTGTCATAGATCTGCCACACCCGCACCTCACCCACTTAATCCCAAGATGACGTAACGCGGTGAGTTACGGAATATTGGGCGATGATACGACGGGATCTCATTTTTGCCGTGACACATATCGCAACGTCATGAGCAAAGTTAATTCGTGTTATATCGAAAATAAGGGAAATTTAGGTCATTGGCACGTGCGCGCGCTCGCGCCTATTTTAGATACTTAAACGAGAATCGCTGGCTCGTGCGCTGACCTTCCTTCCGGCGTTTATTATTTCTCCGACACCCGAGGAATCCGAGATCCGGCGACGGAGAAGATAAACACGAGATTCGTGCGAAATAAAATTATACGAATGCACGATGTTACGTATACAATAATAAAAAAAAAATTTATAAAATACCACGCGCGCTCTTCTTTTTAAAATTATTTCCGGCGTCACATCTCGATAAGCAACCGTATAATCAGCATTTATTTTATCCAACAAACGCTGTATACGCTGTAGACATTTGTGTGCATATTTAATTCGAATATTATATATATATATATATTCGAATATTTTATTATATATATATTGTTATATTCTATATCAGATCGTACTTCGATCGAAGGCTCGCGATGCATTCTCGCGCTTGTCTCGGGAAATCGGCCAAGATCGTCATGGGATCGCAGCTGAATACGCGACCGCGAAGGAGTTCGCTCTCGAGGTCTTTCGATCCCCAATAAGGAAACGTGTCTCACGGTCCTAAGCTGTTCTCGCGAGCTCTCTTGAAACAATATGACGGTGTTTTCTCTAATCGTTCGTTTCTCTTTAGAAACATCGAAAGGGAAGAATAAAAAAAAACTTTGCTTTTGAAACAGTTACTACTGCCTCATATACTTTTCAAGACTATGTCGATCGAAATAGATGCCAGAACGATTCACATAATTCTGTCATAGATCTGCCACACCCGCACCTCACCCACTTAATCCCAAGATGACGTAACGCGGTGAGTTACGAAATATTGGGCGATGAAATATTATATATATATATATATATATTCGAATATTTTATTATATATATATTGTTATATTCTATATCAGATCGTACTTCGATCGAAGGCTCGCGATGCATTCTCGCGCTTGTCTCGGGAAATCGGCCAAGATCGTCATGGGATCGCAGCTGAATACGCGACCGCGAAGGAGTTCGCTCTCGAGGTCTTTCGATCCCCAATAAGGAAACGTGTCTCACGGTCCTAAGCTGATCTCGCGAGCTCTCTTGTTCACCTCGCGCGAGCGAACAGAGCTATCACGTCACCGTCGCGAATGATGACTGGTCGCGATTAAGATTACCTTGATAGTTCATGGTGAATTGACGTTTGTACTTGACCGACACTCTCTTGAGAGCTCGTTCGAGAAAGATTTCGATATTAAATATACTTGGCCGTTTTATCGTGCGCGCGCTCGCGCCTATTTTAGATACTTAAACGAGAATCGCTGGCTCGTGCGCTGACCTTCCTTCCGGCGTTTATTATTTCTCCGACACCCGAGGAATCCGAGATCCGGCGACGGAGAAGATAAACACGAGATTCGTGCGAAATAAAATTATACGAATGCACGATGTTACGTATACAATAATAAAAAAAAAATTTATAAAATACCACGCGCGCTCTTCTTTTTAAAATTATTTCCGGCGTCACATCTCGATAAGCAACCGTATAATCAGCATTTATTTTATCCAACAAACGCTGTATACGCTGTAGACATTTGTGTGCATATTTAATTCGAATATTATATATATATATATATTCGAATATTTTATTATATATATATTGTTATATTCTATATCAGATCGTACTTCGATCGAAGGCTCGCGATGCATTCTCGCGCTTGTCTCGGGAAATCGGCCAAGATCGTCATGGGATCGCAGCTGAATACGCGACCGCGAAGGAGTTCGCTCTCGAGGTCTTTCGATCCCCAATAAGGAAACGTGTCTCACGGTCCTAAGCTGTTCTCGCGAGCTCTCTTGTTCACCTCGCGCGAGCGAACAGAGCTATCACGTCACCGTCGCGAATGATGACTGGTCGCGATTAAGATTACCTTGATAGTTCATGGTGAATTGACGTTTGTACTTGACCGACACTCTCTTGAGAGCTCGTTCGAGAAAGATTTCGATATTAAATATACTTGGCCGTTTTATCGATTCTTATAATGTTAGAAAGGAGAGAAATTAAGAAGCTTCTTGAAAATTCAAGACGATGAAGCAAATTTATTAAGTGGTGGAAAAAACTCATTAAAAAGACTTGAGACGTTAAATGGAATGATCGAATGGCACGGTTAGTTTAGTAACGGAAATCATTCTATGTGATGTCAGGCTGGTATAGCGCAGAGAATTTCTGGCATGTTTTATAAGTCTTCTTGTAAGTCGAACTAAACCGGTTTTATTCGGCAAAAAATTATTTTATGTATGCAAAAATTTTACATGAATTTCTGATAAACGTATAATTAACGGTGACTAAGTAATGACAACTTTTGACATTTTGTGTTTTGTTGAAAAAGATTTGATTTCTCTTCAGAAAATGTCTTTAAAAAGACTTCAAGTATCTCTTAAATGTAAAAAAGTTTTTAAAATTATATAATTAGAATGTATATACATATATAATAATAAAAAGTTGTGCGTCCATTATAGTAGAGAATAAACTTGCTGTTGCTTGTAAATGCATCCCGGAAGAGTGCACTGCTGAAAGGGCGGTTCTATCCGGCTCGCGCAAAAAGGGATTACGTCACTACACAAGAGATCACTGTGAGCGATTCTTTTCAGCAAGAAAACAAACGTTTCAAATGTTAATATCATAAGAGAACATTATGCAATGCATAATATCTTCAGAAATTTATATATACTTATTAATTATTGATAAAAATTATTAAATAAGCTATTATTTTTTATATATTTATTTATAGTATATATATTTTTAATTAACATGCATCTAATTTTGTATTTTATAATTTTTTTTTTAGAACAAAAAGAAAAATAACATCTAATGAACGTCTAATGACGTTGACCCACAATTATATTTTCAAGTGCGATACATTTGATATACGATCGTGACGTCGAATGTTTATCACACTCGGAATATGTACTTATGCGTAACTGATGAAGATAAGAAAAAATTCTTGCGGAAAGTAACATCGTGCGATCGACGCGAATACAATTGGAGCGTTGCATGCGGAATTGACGTTAAATTTAGGCGGTGAGTAAGCCACGCGCAAAAAACGCCGGTTAAAAATACACAACACTACTCGATAGGCCCGTTACACCTACGGCAGTATCGTTTTTCTTGACCTGGATATATACGATTGATCAAGAAGGAAAGGAAAGGGACGACGTTCTGGGGAGATATTTCGCGTGTACTCCATTTGATGCTCAATTAATATAAGAAAAGGGTGCGGCCTTAGAAGAAGAGAACGAACAAGATCGATATTATACGACAAACAAATTTGGGTCATCTTGAGAATATTCTTGTGTCCATAGATTTTCTAAAAAGATTTTTTTTCGTAAAAAAAATAGATTAATTTTTAAGGTACTATTTTATTCCTAAAAATATGTGGTAGTATTTTTTTACGGAAAATATTTTACAGAGGAGATCTCTAAGATAATACATTTTAATATTTCTGTTACATGCGAACATGAGAAAAATAACAATAAGAAAAATTATTTTACGAGAAAATATAACAGATTAAAAAAAAATAATTTTTTTTGAGGCTGACAATAAGAACTTTTGTTGTCGCCATTTTCTCTGCACGCAATGGAAATATTTAAGTATACCGTTTTATATACTTATCTTGTGTATTAATTTATTTATATATTTCAAAATTTATTTTAATATTGTTACATATGTGTATTATTTTTTTATGATTTTTTTAATGCGTTGTGTGTGCACTGTGTTAAAAAGTCCTCAATGTTTACAAACTTTTTGTCGAGTTATATATTGTGCGAGTCTCAGATTTCGCTCTAATTACGTCAATAAGTCATTATGCGATTTCGTAAAAGTCATCCCGCGTCATCCAGTGTTTACGGATATGAAGAATGCCAATGCCAAACGATTTTCAAGCACAACACATATAAAAATGCACTAACATGTGCCACGTGATAAGTTATGCGTATATTTACGAGCCACGTGAGCGTTTAAAATACGTTGTACACAAAATTGCTCGTATCTTATTTTCATACTTCGGTCACGCAACCAACGCGCGCGGCCTTCTTTTAAGACTTGTCGAACTCTAGAGTCTAAAGTACAGTTTCCTGTGCTTTGTGATTTTTTATGAATAATTTTTCCGAGGTCGAAGAAACTTTAAAGAATATCTGAAAAAAGATACTTTCTATCTTTTTGCACTTCACAGTTGCTTTATTTTAATCAAAATACTTCTTCTTTAATCAAAATTGGACGAGTTATAATAAATTGTACTACTCTAAGCGTAGTGTTGTATTAAATTTATAATTTAAAATTTTTTTTATATTTATATTTATAGAAATATTTTTATAAATTTATTTTATCTGAGCATATTTTCATTCTTCATTAAGATTTTCTCTAGGGGCTTCCATGTTTAAGTGCAAGAAGATAATTCTAAGAGATTGCGAAATTGTAA